ATGCATGATATGTGGATGCATGTTTTCAAGGATCTCGCGGGGTAAACACGAGAAAATGTTAGAGGTTGAACTTCGATCAACATCTTTGATTGGAGAACTTTGTATTGGTGGATATCTTTCCACGAGAATCAAGCTCACCATGTCAAGTGGGTCATAGACCTCGATTCAAGTTGTTGTACTTGATCTTTAATGGCGATGTTTAGAGGAAAATGAGTCCTCTTGCTCTTTGGTAGACGTCTGGTTCAACGTGACCCTGCATCAAAAGACCCTCGAGATCCTTGAAATGATTATTGAAAATGCTATGGTATGATGTTATGATGTTATGTATAAGTATGCAAAAGTAAGCAAGTGTATATACAAATTGTTATATTCACACAAAGTAGACAAATCCTTAAGTTTAGGCTTGCATGGGGTTCGTAGGTAAGTACCCTCTTGAAGTTAGTTGGCTTAACCTGTCCTATAAATAGTAACCGGGTTCTAAGGAGCTCAATATCACTGGATTATTTTGTGTTCATCGTTTCAGTTTAGCCACTTTACTGGCGACCGAAATATTCCAAGAAAATAACCTTCAATGAGTGTAGTATCGAGTATCTACCAACTTCAGACTGCACCAAAGCCGGTCATCTCACTACCCCTAATAAGGCCAAGATGGTCAAGTAAGGTTCTAAAGTCAATTGATGCTTCGCGACACCACGCGGCGGCCCCGTACTCTCCTTGATTCAACTCAAGGGTTACCGATACCAACCAATGTGCCACATCAACGTAGCTATTGCTTCAACCATGTCGATATACCCCGCACAGTTCTCTCACAGTTTATTGCTACTTACCTAAAAGGTGCCCCCAAATCCGGGTGTAGGATTTAAAACAAACTCAAACAAGGAACCCAAAAAGTAAAGCATACAAGTCAAATAAGATAAGCATGTAAAGGTGATCTAAACCCTAAGGTAACCCCACTTTTAGAAATCTCCCCAGCAGAGTCGCCAGTTATGTGGTACGGTGGGAGAACTGACTTGAGGTTTTGCGTTTGTGTTCACAAATATTTCGGTTTAGCAAGAGTCGCCGCCGACTTTTTATTTTATCCAAAGGAAAGGTCAAAAAGTACAGGAAAGACCTTTGAGATGTTTTCTTGGGTTCGGGGGGTAGATTATGAAAAGGGAAGGTGCAAGCACCCTTTTCATCCATGGTTATCCATGGGCTCTTAGTTACTTGTTTAGATCACTTGCTTTTTCTTTTCAATTGTTTGAAATAGTGCTTTATGTGTGGTTTTGAAAATGCTTTGAAAAAGAGGCCATCATTGTGGCAACCTTTGTAATGATTCTTGTTTGAATATATACAAAGGTGTTTATCTTTTGAAAAGATATTTCAATGTTTGAAAGTTTGTTTTTGGGAAATGTTTTGAAATTGTGTTGTGAGGTGTGTTTGAAAATAGCAAGGATGTTTTGCAAGTTTTGATCAAGTAACTAAGAGTTATCTACCCCATTTTACTCAAAGGTATTTCGTACACGTTTTTAACCCTTTTGACAGTGTTGTTTTACCATTGTATTTGGTAAACAACCTTGTATTAGGATGTTAAACAGGACAGGCGCGGGTCATCGTATTGACCATGATAGCAATATTGCCCAGTATCTTTAGCAATTTTTTTGAGGGACTAGATCATTTTGTGTAGGCAACCAAGATAGCGTCATCGAGGGACTATGATCTTTTGTTTTGTTTTTGTTTTGCCAAAGTACTCAACATGCATAACATGGCCCTTTTTTAAAGGCAACAAGTGGATGAAACCCTAGGGGTGCAAGTGTGCATTGTGTTATCATTTTCAGGCATTTATGTCTTTGTATTAGTCAAGCTATTTGTTTGATTTTGGATTTTTGCATACAAACCCTGATCTCTAATTATGGCATAATTGAAAGCGTAAATGCGTAAAATAAATCTACCACTATTACAACATGATTATGGGGAGGGGGATACAATTTTTGAATGGGGGATATTTGCAAGAAATTAAAACCTTAATTTTACTATTACATCCAAATTGAATAAATGGCATAAATAATAAATGAATAATATTTAAATAAACAAATTAAATAAATATACAAAATATTATGAATATGCAAAAATGTTTATGTTTTTTTTTTATGTATGTAAAAAATATTTAGTGTATATATAAACAAGAAATAAAAACTTATATACATTTTTTATTAAGGGTAAAACCCTAATTTTCTTTTAAGAATGTAAATATATTAAATATACTATTTATATGTATAATGAAATAAAATAATGTATATACAAAAATGAAATATATTTTGAAAAAGTATTATTTTTATATGTATAAATAATAAAATAAAAATATACAATATCTCTAAAATGTTTATTTGTTTTAATTAAAGAAAATAATAAGTATTTATTAACTAATAATTTTTCATGTTAGAAAAATAAAACAAAAATATAAAAATAAAATGTGAAAATTAATAAAAATATTTTGGTTTTTTTTTTATGTTCAAAAATAATAAAATAAAATCAGAAATGAAAATAAAATGGAAAAATACAAAAATATGAAGAAATGGGCCAGGGGGGTGCATTCAGCAAAAAGGGGTGTCAAAAGCAAAAAGCCAAAGTCCAGCCCAAAGCCAGACTTCATATTCAACCTTGGTTCAAAAACGCGCGCGCCCTGTATCAAATGACAGATCCTGCATACGTGCTCTAATGCAAAAACTCAAAACATCAAAGTTGTAGCATTTTTCAAGACGGATTCAACCATGTAAAGAACTCATTCTAACTCTCAAAGACCAGAGAGAATTTCTCTGGCCCTAATTTTTAACCTAATTTTTTCAGAAAGTTCATGGATCAAATTCTGTTTGCACGATTAATTTAAATGAAAACTGAGCATATGTACAGCTTCATGGCTATGAATACTACATTTTTATTCACAAACCTAAGCCTAATTATTACTAAATAGAGAGATAGGAAGTTGACAAAAACCTGTTTCAGTTGACTTCGTATGGCAATGTAGAGCTTTTCAGTGAGGCCTAGGATGTTTGGGAGCTTGCTTGAACTTCCTCTGACCTTCCCCAATACCTAGCTTGCCTTGAATGTGCTTGAACAAGCCTGTAGAACTCAACCTGCACAAGCTGAAATCAAAAATGGAAAACCCTGTAAATGGAGTTACAGTCAGTGTTTAAGGGTTGGGATAGCTTGGATAGGTTATATGGAAGGTGTTTGAACCAATTTGAGACAAAACGCACGAGGGATTTGTGCCGTGGAAATCAAACTGCAGTGAGTGCCCTGTTTTGCCAATGGAAGGTGATTTTGTGCTATGGGAGATTTCAGGACTCAAAGGCTCGTTTTTTAGGTTCAATATAATGTGTAAAAATTGTCTCAAAAGCTTGCACAAGTTGGTTCTCTCTGATGTTCAAGTTATGTGAATTTTGACATGTTTCTTGTATATGAAGCAAAAGTGGACAAGTGATGCAAAGCAGGCTTGTACAGGCTATCTATCATCTTGCACGCTATGCTCTTGGCCCCTCAAGTTTTTGGATTTGATTTGCTGCACAAGATATGGTTCAATGCTCAAGGGATGTGGTTTGACATAAAGCAAGATTATGGCAAAAATGGTAATGTACCTTTTTCTACTTAAGGATTAATCTATTGTATAATCTTCTAATGACCAAAATAAAGCCTTAGACCAATGGATTTGCATTTAATTATTGAGTATGGAATGGTTTTGGTGCCTGTAATCTAGTGCAAAGCAATCTGATTAGAGTTTGCAACTTGTATCACTAAGAAAATGCCATGGATCAAAAGTGAGTTTTTGCTAACTTCAAGCTTTCGATTCTCCCTAACCACAAATGATTTTGGAGAGTTCTTAGACTTTTTGGGAAGCTTGAAACATGATCTACAATCCATCTTTGAAATTCATTTTGAGAATCCAAGTGGAACTAGGTGAAAAATTGCCAAGAAGATAGGTCAAAATCCTGCCTAAACTAGGGCAAAATTTCACTAAGTTAAAAGTTTCATGGACCCTTGTTCCAAAAATCATAACTTGAGATCCAAGCTTCTTTTTGGAAAACTTTGTGAATCAGAGTTGTAAAATTTGTGGAGGACTACAACTTTCATGTTAGAAGTTTTGTTTGAATCCAATTGCATCATGGTGAAAATGTTGGGCAAAGTTGGGAAAAATTAAGAAAATTTCATAACTTAGAAAAATTCTAAGTTATGAAATTTTTCAATCTTAAACCCCAATTTGCAAAATTGGGTTTCTTGATGAACAAGTTTCATGTTTTGACACATATTGATGAAAAATGACCCTTGGCACTTGATTTTGACCAAAAAGTCAAAGTTTGACTTTTCAATGTACAATCAAATTTTGATCAGTTGACTGAAAAATTCATATGTCAATCCAATGTATTTGAGATCTTTTGAACCTTGTGAATAGGTCAAGATGATGCCATTGAGTCCTTGAATTCATGCTTGAACCCAATTTGCCATTGGCTAGGTCAAAAGCCAGAAATTGCCCTTCTATAGTCAAAAGCCTAAAAATGACCATTTTGCCCTTTTGGTGATCTGATCAAATTCCTTGTGGAGTTGTGGGCCAAACTTGATCAAATGGTTCATATGAGCTTATAATGTTGATGTGGGTCAAAATTTATGAGGTTTGACTGTAAATTAGCCACAGTTGACTTTTTCCCAATACAGCTGATTTCTAGGTCAACTGTCCAATTGACTGGGCAAAAATTTGATTCAAGGCTTGAAACTTGGTAGAGGTAATCTTGTAAGTCCAACATGAAGTATGAAAGTCACTTTGAGCATTGAAAGTCCAAAAATCCTTGTGCAAACTCAAACCCTAATTTAGGTCAACAGTGCAAGGAGATGTCTTAAGCAAAGTGAACCCTAGCTTGGTCTTGAGTTCAAAGAGTCTTGTGATGGAAAATATTGACAAAATGAGAGGGAAAATTTTGGGGTACAACACTCCCCATGATGGAGCTTCATGTAGAAATCATTACAACTACATGAACAAAATACTTAATAAATGGGCAGGCGCTTATGATAACGCTAAGCGTATGCAAAAAAGTGGGTGGTCGAAGAATGATGTATTGGCAAAAGCGCATGAATTATATTTAAGTGGTAAGAATGGACATTTAATTTTAATGTCAGAATGGCTCTCTCTCCGTGATCAACCACGCTATGGTAGTCAGATAGGAGGAAATAGTGGATTTGTAGGTAGTGGATCTAAGAGAGCCCACGAGAGTGATGCAAGTGATTCCAACTCCATAGAATCTAGTGCTTGCCCAATGGGGATGGATGTAGCAAAAAAAGGGTAAAAAAAAGTAATGCCGCAACCTTGGAATCGGTCAATGAAGAGTTGAATGAATTCAAACAATTTAAGGAGAAAGAGTTGGAACGATTGGCAAAATAGCCATGAGGCAAGAGGAAGCTAACCAATTGTTGAAAGAAAGTACTGAGGCTAAGAAGATGAATATGTTTATGAAGCTAAGTTCAAAGGAGCATCTTGATGACCGGAGCAAAGAGTTGTTGGAAAAGTTGGGTCGCGGTCTGTTTGGAAATTAAATGTTGTTAAGTCATTATTTATATTATGTTTCTTATCTACTATTTTCTATATTATCAAGTCTTTATCAAGTCATTGTTTGTATTTTGTTTTTTATCTATTATTTTCTATTTTGTCATTCTGTTTCTTGTCTACTATTATCTATATTATCAAGACATTGTTTGTCACTTAGTTTCTTGTCTACTATTATCTATATTATCAAGACATTGTTTGTCACTTAGTTTCTTGTCTACTATTATTATCTATATTATCAAGACATTTTTTGTCACTTAGTTTCTTGTCTACTATTATCTATATTATCAAGACATTGTTTGTCACTTAGTTTCTTGTCTACTATTATCTATATTATCAAGACATTGTTTGTCACTTAGTTTCTTGTCTACTATTATCTATATTATCAAGACATTATTTGTCACTTAGTTTCTTGTCTACTATCATCTATATTATCAAGATATTGATTTATATTTTATCATTTTGTTTCTTGTCTACTATTATTTATATTATCAAGACATTAATTTCTATTTTGTCACTTAGTTTCTTGTCTACTATTATCTATATTATCAAGATATTAATTTCTATTTTGTCATTTTGTTTCTTGTCTACTATTATTTATATTATCAAGACATTGATTTCTATTTTGTCACTTAGTTTCTTGTCTACTATTATCTATATTATCAAGATATTGATTTATATTTTGTCATTTTGTTTCTTGTCTACTATTATCTATATTATCAAGATATTGATTTCTATTTTATCACTTAGTTTCTTATATATTATTGATGTACCAATACCAAAAATATGATATTACTAATCTTATAAATGGAGACTCATTCTTCCATTAATGTACCAATACCAAAAATCTCATATTACTAAAAAACATTAATGGATCCTTCAGAATTTCCCTTTGATATCGAAGCTTACAAAAGGCAGTCTGAAATCGAAGAGAGGTATATCATCAACCGGTTCAGGGAGCGGTGAAACCAAATACAGGAAGGATATACACTTAATGTTAAGAGATAATATCTCAATAGAGATCATGCAGCGTCAAACCAAAGACTAATAAAAGACTACTTTGTAGACTAACCTACATATGACGATGCAATGTTTCGTCGGCGATTTCGGATGCGAAAACTTGTGTTCCTTAGGATCGTTGGAGAACTATCTAGCAGTGACAACTACTTCACCCAAAGAGTTTATGCAACCAAAAAAGAAGGTATATCTCCATTAGCAAAATGTACCACAACCATGCGAATGTTAGCATATGGTGTGGCGGACGATGCGGTCGATAAATACATTAAAATAGGAGGTACAACAGCATTAGAGTGCTTGCGTAGATTCTGTAAAGGAATCGTACAATTGTATGAGCCAGTGTATCTCAGAGCCCCAACTCAAGATGACCTGCAAAGAATACTACATGTTAGTGAAATGCGGGGGTTCCCGGGGATGATTGAGAGTATTGATTGCATGCACTGGGAATAGAAAAATTGTCCTACGATATGGGGAGGTCAATTTACTCGGGGAGATAAGGGAACCACCACTGTTATTCTTAAAGCAGTTGCAACTTATGATCTATGGATTTGGCATGCCTTCTTTGGATGTCCGGGCACATTGAACGATATAAACGTTCTAGACCGTTCACTCGTGTTTGATGATGTTGAACAGGGAAAAACTTCAAGAGTGAACTTCTTTGTGAATCAACGTCCGTATAATATGACATACTATCTTGCTGACGGTATCTATCCTTCTTATCCGGCTTTTGCCAAATCAATTGGACTTCCTCAAAGTGAACTAGATAAGTTATTTGTAAAATATCAGGAGGGATGTCGGAAGGACATCGAACGTGCATTTGGAGTGTTGCAGGCTCGATTAAAAATCATTCACGAACCAGCCCGTTTGTGGGACATAGCCGATTTGGCTCTCATCATGAGGTCATGTATCATATTGCATAGATGATTGTTGAGGATGAACGAGATACATATTCTCAATATTGGACAGATTATGATCAATCTGAGACAAGTGGGTCTGGTACACCGGAGCCATTCTCGACTGAGGTGCTACATGCATTTACAAATCATGTGCGTGCTAGATCAGTGATGCGTGATTCAAATGTACATCACGAATTGCAAACAGATCTAGTCAAACATATATGGGTAAAGTTTGAAATGTTTCGTGATTAAATAGATTGTTTGTGAGTTGAGTCTATTGTACTAATTAAGTTATGTGTATTTTATTTTAAGTGTGTTGTGTGTATTGTATTGCATTTTAAGTTTTTTGTAATTACGAATATAAAATTAGAGAAAAAAATTAAAATAACTTTTTAAATTAAAAAATAAATAAATTAAATTATTTAACTCTTAATTATTTTAATTTAATTTTAATTAATAATTATTATTAATATATAATCAAAAAAACAAAAACATAAAAAATAAAATAAAAATATAAAATAAAAGTGATAGGATAAGGTGTTGAATTTTATTAAACAAAACTATTGTAGTGAGTAAAAGTTTAATGTGTGTTGAATAATTAGGTGGAATAGAGAGAAGATGATATAAAATATAAAAAATAAAAAAATAAATATTAAATAATTTTGAGAAAAATAAATGTTAAATAATTTTGCTATTATAGATAGTGTTATCTCCATTCTTTTGAACCTACCTATGATGTTGTTAAGAATTTTTGGGACTGCGGTTTCTGGAAAAGTTTATGGTGATTAAAAATAATTTAAGTGCCATTGTTATGCTATTTATCATGTCACTATTAGGGATGTCAGTTTGGACATGTTAATGGGGATCCCCGCGGGGAACGCCCCGTTCGGGGCCTCAAAGATGGGGAATTTTCCCCCGTGGGGGCGGGGATGGGGAGAAAAATTCCCCCGAGAGCATTTCGGGGACGGGGACGGGGAATACACCCCCCGCCCCGCCTATTATTTTAATATAGTTAATTTAATATATATATTTTAGATTAGGTTTTTTAGTCATTTCCTTTATTTTAGATTAGATTTGGAAAGAGAGACATGATTGATCATTACTTGTTTGGATATTTTGCTTAATATTTTAGTTTATTTATATGTAACTTTGTTTTAAGTATTTTGATATTTCTACTTTACGTGTGTTATCAATTAAGCAAATAGAGATATGTTGACTTTTGCTTTTAGTTGACTTATTATGAAGTATTTTTTAGCTTTTCAAGCATACTCATGATGCTAAATTTTATAATTATCCCTTATTAGTTTTGATGAAGTATAGTTTTTTAAGCATAATTATGTTGTTGGATTTTTTTAGTTGTTTAGGCATATTGTTACTTTAAAAAGTATTATAGTTCATTTTGTTGAATTTTATAGCATTTTATAGAAATTTATAAAAAAAATATTATTATTTTGTGTTCCATTAGTATTTTTAATAAAAAATAATAAATGTCAAATACTAGTATTTTTTAATAACATAATAAATATGTGAATTCTTTGTGCTTTTTATTTTTATAGAAAATATAAATATTTTAAAAAAATAAAATATTAATGAATAAATGTAGGATCTATGGGGATCCCCGCGGGGAACAGAGATCCGCGGGGAACGGAGATGGGGATAGAAATTCCCCCGTGACAGAGATCGAGGACGGAGACGGGGAATGAATTTGATGGCAGGGAAAAAGATGGGGAAGTGTCCCCCCGGGCCCGCCCCGCCCCATTGACATCCCTAATCACTATTGTCTTAAATATTTTATTTATACTCTCTTATTAATCGCTACCATGATGAGAACGACTTCCGCATGCGTGGTGCCATCAAGTGTCACTCTGGCGTAAGTATCAATTTATAGAGCAACATATACCACACAATAGTCTCCTCTGAGTTTATATAAACCTAATTTATAAAATCAAAATGAAAGTATACATCACAAGTATTTTAAGGTTTATATTTTTTTATTTTTCCACACGTCAAATTGGGAGATATATAATGCTACATAAAATATTTATTATGTGACTAAAAGTCAAACAATTTTTATATGATCCAAACTGAATAACTGAAATTCATTATTTAAATTATAATCCGTTCTTATCTGTTAAGCCTATCTTTTTTTGGTGATGAAATCCAATTCAAGCATGAAACAACACTTCATAGCTTCATTTTGAAGTATATCTTTTGCAACGTGAGAAAAAAAATCAAATACAATACCAAACATATGTTTAATTAGACATTAATGAAAATAAACACAAATTCTATATTTGGTTTTTATGTTTGAAATCTGATTTTTTTTTTTTGGAAGTGTAGAATTTCGAAATCTGATTTTTAATGTGTAAAGTTAATTTTAACATCTTTGATGAGTATTAAATACTCTCTCCATTTTAAAAATGAATATTGTTTTAGAGAAAAAATTGTTCTAAATAATTCCCACTTCTTAATATAACAGTGATAGTTATTTTCTTAATTGTGTTTTATAATTATTATTATGTACGTTATTTCTAATAAATTATTAAAGTTAATTTAATAAAAAGGTAATGTATTGTCATGATAATTAAATATATTTTGTAATCTGTATATAAAAATTTTAAACAACACTTATTTTAAAATAGATAGAGTATTAATTGCAGTTTAGAATCAATTTTAATTAAAGTTAAAATTTATAGTACAATTTTTAATTCAAATTTGATTCTTATTCTAAATATTAATTGTTTTGGACTGGGCCCGACAGACCCAATAGCATTGATAAGGCTCAATCCAAATGGACTTGCTGAGGACCACGCCGACCAAAGGGACACAGTCGTGCCCGACGTGCTCCCTGAGGTTACTTGTTCGACCTCTAACTGTCCAGCTCGACATCACCGCGAGCACCCCAACTAGGGCAGACTCATTCCACTGCACTCCCAACGAGACCCCGAAAAGACCGCGTCTCTGTCCGCCCGCACTTCACGCCGAACATCCAGGGAAGGGACCACGTGTGGGTCCCCACTACGCACGTAGAACCTGGCAGTTCCTCCATTGGGCCAAACCTGCCCGGCCCAATGAAG